TTTTATTGTTTTTAATTGTTATTAAATTTTTTAACAAAGTATATTGCCCTTGTCAAAAACTTACACTTGTACTAAACTAATATTTCAAAAAATATGTTATAATTCATTTTTTTTTTAAGTTGCATTCCTCAATACAAAATGCGCCATCATGCGAGGTTGATATCCAGAACAAAAAGAAGGAGTACAGATCCGACGATGATAAATGTGCTAACAAGGAAGAGTCTCTTTTTTACGCCTATTTGGATGGCGTACAAACAATCTCGGAAGTTAAAGAAGAAACTGCATCTAAAAAACTGGTCAAAATCTATGGTGACATAGAAAATTTCGACATTATGCATGGGCGTTTGCCACTGAATGTGAACATTTTGCAGTTTTTTAATGATATAAAACTGCAGTCGCCCCATCTGAGAGCGCTCGCACACGTAGTACTGGCTGTACCGGCGACTAAGGTGACTGTTGAGAGGGCTTTTTCAGCGCTTCACTACATTTTAAGCGAGCGACGAAGCTCTTTAAGTGCAGAAACTTTACATTCTCTACTTGTTGTTAAGTTAAATACAGAATAAATAATAAATATAATGTTAAGATTTAATAAACATGTTAAAGCTGTACTAGCATGAACTCTTTCTAATCCCGTTGGAATTTTTGGTTCCAAATGTTCAATTACCTCTTAATTTGTACTTTGATTATTATCTATGTTCTTATCGTACGTTCGCGACCCAAACCAAAGGAGGTGGATGAAACTTCATGTGTTAAGTCATTTTAGTGTAAACTATTGAAATTAAAAACAAGAAAGGAAAGCTAACTTCGGCCGGAGCCGAAGTTTATATACCCTTGCAGTTAAAAACGGATATATATCGCAAACATAAGATATAGTTGGCCGATCCTTATGGGAATATGAATATATAATCCAATTTATTACAATACAAAATCTAAAAAAAGTCCCAAACTTCTATCTTCAAAAATACGAAAGTTGATATTTCTACCAAAAACCATTTCCGATCGTTCAGTTATATGGCAGCTATAAGATATAGTCGGCCGATCGTTATGAAATTTGGTAGGTCGGATCAACTGACCAAAAATTAAATCTGTACCAAGTTCCAGCTTTCTTTCTTCAAAAACACGAAAGTTTGGTCATATCCGATCGTTCAGTTATATGGCAGCTATAGGATATAGTCGGCCTTACGAAATTTAGCATGTCGTATTTTTTTGCCAAAAATAGCGCTCATGTAAAATTTGAACTCTCTAACTCTAAAAACACCAAAGTTATACCATTTCCGATCAATCAGTTATATGGCAGCTATAGGATTTAGTAAAAAAATCCCGACTTTTTATACCCTTGCAGAGGGTATTATAATTTTGGTCAAAAGTGTGCAACGCAGTGAAGGAGACATCTCCGACCCTATAAAGTATATATATTCTTGATCAGGATCACCTCCTGAGTTGATATGAGCATGTCCGTCTGTTCGTCTGTCCGTCTGTCCGTCTGTCTGTCTGTTTCTACGCGAACTAGTCTCTCAGTTTTAAAGCTATCGACTTGAAACTTTGCACACACCCTTCTTTCCTTTGCACGCAGTATATAAGTCGGAACGGCCCGGATCGGACTATATCCTATAGCTGCCATATAACTGATTGATCGGAAATGGTATAACTTTGGTGTTTTTAGAGTTAGAGAGTTCAAATTTGACATCAGAGCTATTTTTGGCAAAATAATACGACATGCCAAATTTCATAAGGATCGGCCGACTATATCCTATAGCTGCCATATAACTGAACGATCGGAAATGGTATTTGGTAGAAATATCAACTTTCGTATTTTTGAAGATAGAAGTTTGGGACTTTTTTTAGATTTTGTATTGTAATAAATTGGATTATATATTCCTATTCCCATAAGGATCGGCCATCTATATCCGATGTTTGCGATATATATCCGGTTTTAACTGCAAGGGTATATAAACTTCGGCTCTGCCCGAAGTTAGCTTTCCTTTCTTGTTTAAGAAAATTTTTTTGTATTGAATTTTAAAGTGACGTACGTTCGTGACCGTATGTATGATGTACGTATAAAAAATAATATAATTTAAAAAAAAAATTTTTTTTTTGTTTAGAAAGCTTATAAATATTTTATTAATTAAATTTTATTTAATTAAAATTAAAAATAAAATTAAAATTTAATTTAAAAAAAAAACAAGAAAGGAAAGCTAACTTCGGGCGGAGCCGAAGTTTATATACCCTTGCAGCTAAAACCGGATATATATCGCAAACATCGGATATAGTTGGCCGATCCTTATGAAATTTGGTAGGATGGATCAAAATTTAATCTGTACCAAGTTCCAGCTTTCTATCTTCAAAAACACGAAAGTTGGGTCATTTCCGATCGTTCAGTTATATGGCAGCTATAGGATATAGTCGGCCGATCCTTATGAAATTTGGTACGTTGGATCAACTGACCAAAAATAGAATCTGTATTAAATTTCAGCTTTCTATCTTCAAAAAAACGAAAGTTGGGTCATTTCCGATCGTTCAGTTATATGGCAGCTATAAGATATAGTCGGCCGATCCTTATGAAATTTGGCATGTCGTAATGTTTTGCCAAAAATAGCACTCATGTCAAATTTGAACTCTCTAACTCTAAAAACACCAAAGTTATACCATTTCCGATCAATCAGTTATATGGCAGCTATAGGATATAGTCGGCCGATCCCGGTCGTTCCGACTTATATACTGCGTGCAAAGGAAAGAAGGGTGTGTGCAAAGTTTCAAGACGATAGCTTTAAAACTGAGAGACTAGTTCGCGTAGAAACAGACAGACAGACAGACGGACAGACGGACAGACGGACAGACGGACATGCTCATATCAACTCAGGAGGTGATCCTGATCAAGAATATATATACTTTATAGGGTCGGAGATGTCTCCTTCACTGCGTTGCACACTTTTGGACAAAATTATAATACCCTCTGCAAGGGTATAAAAATGTGGTGGAACATGATTTTATAAGAAAATATAAATTTATTTATAAAAAAAAAAAAGTAAAAACAAAAAAAAAAATGTTATATGGGGAAATATCGTACCCGTACCCAAATATACCCAGGAAATGCCCCTACACAATTTTTTTCTTTTTTTTTATGTTTTGAAATAAATGTATGCAAAGTTACAACCCTAAAAAATAATTTATGTTCATTTGCCAGCCAATTGAAAATCGTCAAAATTTCAAATCGAGAATGGGGGGGTCCCCTAAAGAGATGCATATTTCCCCTTAAGGGGAGGGTAAGGTCAAATCATGCGAAAAAAGCCATGTTTTTGTAATTTTTTTCCTGACGACACAGTTAAAATTTATTTATTCAACCAACGGTACATTAAAGTATAACATTAGAAGAATTTTTTATCAAATTTTTACAAAAAAATATTTAAAAATATGGCAATGGTAGCAATTGTCCGGACGTGTCGCCAAAAAAGTTGAATTGCGGTGCCCCTCATAACTCGGTGCTGGATCATTTGTAATCAAAAAATGAAAGTTCATTCGTTAGATAATAGTTCGCCCCAGGTAACGCTGTGAATGTTTTTGAAAATTGGAATTTTTTAATTTTTTCGAAGACTTTGAAGTGAAAAACTCAATTTTTTGGGAAAAAAAATCGGTTAATTTGTCATTGCAAAATAAAAATTATGAACAAAAAAACTCGACAGCGTTACCTCGTAAAATATGTACAGAAATAGTGTTTAAAATTTCAAAAGGATCGGTGCAGTAGTTTTGAAGTTATGAGGGGCACCGACTTTGAAAACGTGAGTTGTGGGAAAAACGCTTTAAAGTTTTAAACACAAAAAAATCCAGTGTAAAACGTTTATGAGCAACTTCGTCAATAACTAATAACTTCGTCAATTTTGCTTTAATAATGGTTGAATAATGGGTTTAATGGTTGAATAAATAAATTTTAACTGTGTCGTCAGGAAAAAAATCACAAAAACATGGCTTTTTTCGCATGATTTGACCTTACCCTCCCCTTAAGAAAATTTTTTTTTTATACCCTTGCAGAGGGTATTATAATTTTGTCCAAAAGTGTGCAACGCAGTGAAGGAGACATCTCCGACCCTATAAAGTATATATATTCTTGATCAGGATCACCTCCTGAGTTGATATGAGCATGTCCGTCTGTCCGTCTGTCTGTCTGTCTGTTTCTACGCGAACTAGTCTCCGTTTAAAAGCTAACGACTTGAAACTTCGCACACACCCTTCTTTCTTTTGCACGCAGTATATAAGTCGGAACGACCGGGATCGGCCGACTGTATCCTATAGCTTCCATATAACTGATTGATCGGAATTGGTATAACTTTGGTGTTTTTAGAGTTAGAGAGTTTGACATGAGATATAATTTGCCGATCCTTATGAGAATATTATAAAATAACCCAATTTATTATAATACAAAATTTAAAAAAAAGTCCCAAGCTTCTATCTTCAAAAATACGAAAGTTGATATTTCTACCAAATACCATTTCCGATCGTTCAGTTATATGGCAGCTATAAGATATAGTCGGCCGATCCTTTTGAAATTTGACATGTCGTAATGTCTTGCCACAAAAGCTCTTGGCAAAAGCCCTTATCTTTTACTGGGAAATTTAAATATTAAAAAAAAATAATAAAAATATTCAATTTGTGATCATTTTAAATATATGTATATTAATTATAGTGTATTGCTAGTAATATTAATATTGGAGTTTTTATGATACTAAAATCGTTTCGCTAAAGATGCCACAAAAGTCTCGCAAACGATCCGTTTTGGATCTGTCGAATACGAAACAATCACTGCCACAAACTGAGCGCCTAGAGATTCGTTTTATTACCGTTTTCGGATCAAAAATAACACTCGTTACACGTTTTTTTTTGCCTAACCCTCGTTTTTGTCATATTTTACGCGGTTTTGGCCCACTGAGATATCATTGTTCTCTACGAGTACCTGGTATAAAAACTCCACAATACATCCACAATATTTTTTTATTGATTACATAGTATTTTAAATATATTAACAACTTTATCTTTATAAATTTATTTCAAATACATTTTTATTTTATGTTATTCATTGTCCTTTTCTTCATGCATTCGAACATTTAAAAATTTAGAGTTATCGCTTAAATCACAATCATCGACAAACTCAACATGCGTAAATGGAAAGTGACCCTTGCGCCCATTCATTTCTCCTTCCCATTGGCCATTGATATTAGTTTTGGTAACTTTGATGATGTCGCCTATATCCAATTTCAAAGCAGTCTTATCGTATGCGTTTGGTACCCTCGACTGTTTTACTCGAGCAAACGCAGGTAGTGTTCGCTTTAAACAAGATAAAGTCAAATATATGCACAAAAAAATATAAATTCATTTTACTTCTTACGTTTAAGTCTGTTCTTTTTAAAACCCGATTGAAAGATTCGGAAGGCTGGTCCATTGCTGACTCCACGAACTTATTATTTTCATTATACTGTGGAAAAAATTTATATTTTTAAAACATATTTTATTTATTAAACTTACAGTCTGTATATATGGAACTGGTATTTGTCCGACTTGCCCCAATGAATTACGAGCAGTCCACCAATGCTCTTCATCCTTTCTTACTACTGTAAGAACTTCCCCTTTTTGAAAAGGCAAGTCATCTTGGTCCTTAAAAAAACATTTAATTTTTACTAAGAACAAAAATTTTATTGCTTACTTACATTGCCGGCAAAGTCGAATATCCCTCTTACAAGTTCAACTTTTTTTGGTGCAGGACGTCTTAGAGGTGTCGTGTCCAAATAATGAAGAGTATAAAACGTCAACAATTTTGGCAGATTATCAAATGATTGATCACCGATGCGATATACTAAATGATCTTGCTGTTGCACTTTGTTGATTATATAGTTGCTTACTTTAGTATCTTCTCTAATATAATAGTAGGGAAGGATTATTCATATTTTAAATTATTTTTAGAAATATAAATATTATCATTATTATCATATTTTTAAAACAAGAGCTGTAAACCTACCTCACGCAAAGAACATAGTCTCCCGCTATTGAGTTACTGTCGCGGACCAAAAATACTCCTCGTTCTCGTTCATTCATCAGTACTTCCGTTGCTTCTTGGCGGGACATGGAACCAAAGTACCAGCTTATAAAAGTAGTTCACGACGCACCAAATTTTTAAAAGATTAATTATTTTCTACACTTCCAAACATACATACATATTTGTAAATGATATTTTTTGAAAAAACTTACCAACTTCGATCTGTTACATCAAATGTTTCCATTTTTAGTTTTACAATAAGGCGCTTACAAACAAATTATGCCAAGAAACTCATTGAAAATGTATTTTTTCGATATTTATTTGCTCACAATAACGCAATAAGTACACCGCATTTAGAAACAAATTTTTCTAAATAGTAGATTAAAATATTTCTTTTAATATGTATGTCCTGCAGTGTGACCAAGTCTAGGAAGTGTCAGCATATTTAAACAATAATTAAAGATGTCCGTTAAACTAGCGTCGCTCAGTTAGCGTCGAAGTGGAACGGGAGAACTGGATCACAGAAACGAAATTTTGTTGAGTGAATCCCTTATTTTGATAATAAGAGCTACAAATTTCATTTAAACCTTACTTTAAGGATACAATCAAATAAAAGTGGGTCAACCCGGTTAACAGCCCATGGAAAAATGACCCCAACAAATTATTTTTCAAATTGTAAAGCTATCTGAGGATCCTGGCCCTGGAATAGGTATAGGCTTTATTTCATTATTATTTCAAAAATTATTTCAATAATAATAACTAAAAATAATATACTGGGCTCCAACAGAGTAAATAAAGTTTCTCATTTATGATGAGTCGAATTTTGTTTTGTGCACCCAACTGGCGTATTCTACGGAGGCCCTGAAGGTATAAATATTTCATCTCATGTCAATTCTAAGATTTGAGTTTCTATTTCTGTTCGTAGTTAAGTGGGGTACGGCTAGAATTCTTGTGTATTTCTTGTTTTTAAGATGTCATATGCTATCTATTATAATATTATTATTATCATTATTATTATTATTATTATGTATTTTAATTCTTCTACCTCCGCTTATAAACAAAGTATCTGTTTTTATGTCCACTATGGAGTGCAATTGTTTTAAAGCGTCGTTCCATATTACGGAACGGAAAGTTTTTAATGTCGGCAAAATGAAAAATTTGCAGGATCAATTTCGTAGGCCAAAAAAGTTTAAGAGAGTATGGCGGTTTTTTTTCATTTTTCCGCCTTCGAAGTTAGCGGAGAATCGATACTAGTTGGGGTTGTATGTAATTTTGGCTGGACCCTGTATCTTTCAGAAAATTTAGTGTGGACCCGTTTCCCATGACGCAATGGTAATATATGGTAGAGAGAATCTGTTAATTCTGAAATAAAAAACGAATGCTACGTCTGAATGAAAATGTTTTTCATCCCATTCATCAACTTCTTTTAACCTTACTTGTTAAAAATAGTTATTTTCTTCGTTTTTATTAGGCTTAAAGCTGGTCTTCAAGCCTACCGATCTCGATGTTCAAAGGTCTCTGTATTTTTTGGTGTAGACGTGTCCTGCTGGCGCGGAGACACGTTTGCCTATCGGGTCATCATTAGAGGGCCTGTTGATGAAGTTCAAATGCCGTGATCGAAAAGATGGATTTATCTCCATCAGCACTGTTTAGAGGTTTAGGGCAAAGAGGCGCAAAAGTGGTGGGACGTTTGGTTTTTAGGTTGCTCCCTGCGGTGTTGCCGGGTATGGTTGGGGCTTGGTTAGTGGCCGATTTTGGCCATGGTATTTGCGATTGAGATCCCCAATAAGGTAAATTGATTGGAGCGTGATATAGATTTAGGTCAAATCTGAAGACATTCACTACTTGGTTGGGTTCTGTGACTTGAAGTTATACAGTGCCTGCAATTGTGTAAGTGGTAATGGATGCGGCATTTGCCGTGGTTTAAGGGCGAATGAATTTCGGCACTCTTGACTAAGATTTCTTGGCTCTTTACCGGCTAATAATCTTGGTCATTCAGGCCACGCATAATATTATCTAGAGCTTTATCCCAATACGTGTTGTTCAAAGTTTTTATTACTTTAGGGGAATCTTCTTGTGCACTAATTTGATTGAGTATGAGAGATAAGTTATAATACACTAGTCTGTCTGTTAATGAAAACTTCTGATAGTCAAGAGAATCAAGAGTTTGGGCTGTTATACCTTTGGAAATTACTTTCCAATTAAGGGGGGTGTTATATAAATTTATCACTGCTTCTGCTTCGCCGATAATTTTTTTACGGATTGCGATCTTGAGAAGGTAGATCTATGGTAAGTTGCCTCTTATATTTCGTAAAGAGCAGCTACCGCAAATTGTTCTATCTCTAGAGAATTCCCTACCTAAACGAAGTAAATCTGGTATTTGGTCTTTTTCCTCATCACCACTGGGCGACCTGTAAATCCAATAGAACATCGGAAGTTTCATCCAAATGCACTGCCTTTCAGATGATTTGGCCATCTCGAAGGACTTCGTTGATGATGCTTGCAATCGCATCTCTAAATTTGGGGCTACTGATCGGAGTAAAGATTACTAATTGGTTCAGATAATTCTTTTGCTGTTGTAGTCATTTTAAGATCGGAAGGACTATCGAAACAAACAATTAAGTGGGTCAATCCCTTTAGAGCCAAAAAAAAAAAGATACTTTTTCAAGCATTTTTTTTATTAAAATGTATTACTTAACATAACTAACACTGACTTAAAATAAAATCAAAAAGTTGAAGCGACGGAATAATCCGCGGTGCACTGGAACATGTGAAGAAAATATTTACACTTTCTTAATTTTTTAATTTTTTACTTTATATCAGTGGACGGCACTCTATCGATTGATTTGAATTGATTGAATTCATTGATATGAATTTAATGCATTAGTATAAGTAAAGCATAGTAGAAAGTAGGCTGGGAGCATGATGTTTCATGTGTGCTTGGCGGAGCTTGAGAAATATCGCATACACTTGAAATATTAAGAAAATTTTAAAATTTTTTCTTTTATCATCTATTTTAATCATATATCTATTTATCTTTTATCATTTTATTTAAGTGGTTTTAAAGTTTTTTTTATCTGTGTATATAAAAAGGACGGGAAACTCGGCTATAGCCTTCCTTTCTCGTTTTTATCGTATTATTGGAGTGCATTTTTTGACAAAAAGGCTGCGTAGAGATTTAACATAAGTTTTTGGGAAATCGTAAATAATCTTTGGGTGGGTATATTTATTTAAGCTGAAATACCCCGATATTTGATCATTTTTAATTAAAACAAAGTGATTGCAATTTAAATTTTGGAATTAACTGAATACCATTTAAAAAATATTTGTTGTTGTTTGTGAAACTGTCGTAAGCTAAGCTATACGAGAGATCAGGAGTAGGGTAGGTTTTTGTAGTAGGTTGCAGTGCCATAGTTAGGGAAGAAAAATGCTGAGCTTTTAAGAGCATTTTCCAGAATGCCACCTCTAGCATCAAGCGTGTTGTTTTTTAAAATTTCAGACTTATTAAAATCGCCAAGTTACCTCGATACCCATTGCCACGAGGCTTACAGACAAAATTACAATTTCTTTCTTGTTAGTAAATCAATTTTACAATTTGTAATAGAAATACGATCTTTTAAACTAACTAAAAAGTTCTTTGATTTGGAAAATATTTTAAATTTTCTTTGCCTAAATAAGAGCAAATGTATAGGGATGGTTGGTTTAAAGTTTTTTCTGGTGTTCCTTTGGATTGGGTGTAATTGAATTTTTCTTTGATACATTTACATTAACACCTACTTCACATTTTTTAGCTAAGAGACACCTTAACAACTTTGTTAAAAGGGTTTTTTTTAAATAATGGCTGACTAGTTACGTGTCAATCTGTAAAATTGGTATAGTTTATTTCCTTTTCCATGATGGTTGTGGAAAATGGGTAATGTCCTTAGGCCTAGTACTGAAATCGAAAAACACGAGTAAATGCGTTTTCTTTCCAGTGTGAACTGATATTTCTAAGTTACGCACAACGGTCCCTCCCAAAAAGTGATTTGAATTGGAATTAAAAAATTAACAATGTTGGAAAGAACTGATTTAATGTCTGTTTAAGGTGTTATATACAGTTGTACCGCACAAAAAAATGGAATTTTATCAATTTTTTTTTGTTTGACACCATAGAAAATATTTATGAAAAATGTTTTACTTGTTTAGTACATGTTTCTGGGTACTTATTTAAATTTTTTCATAAAAAAATATTACATAATAAAAATGTTATAGCCGAATTCCCGGATCGTCTTTTTTCGATGGTGTCTTGCGGTGGACATGATATCCCAAAAACGGTTCATCCGAAATCCAAAATTCAAAAAAAATTAGTTAGTATATTGTATTGTCTAGTCCGTGAACGAGGGATTTCTAAAAATTTTGATTAAAAAAAAAATGGCGACGGTTTTAACAAAAAATGTACTTTTTCAAGGTACACGATTTTCGATTTTTATGCTTTATACAAGGAGTTTTCCAAAAAATGGAAAATCCCTCGTTCACGGACTAGCTAATATCATAATAAATAAGTGGTCAAAATTTGGTGTTGATCGGATTAGTAGTTTTTTAGTAATCGTGTCCACCGTAAAGGTAATTTCCCAAAAAAAAGATTCTGAGGTAATCGCGTTTTAAGTCTCAAGTTTGTTCAAGTTGTATATGCAGATAGTGCGCTATAAATAGCTACAACTTCGGTTTTAATGCTCCGATCGTTATGAATTTTTGTGCAAGTATTCTCAACAGTATATACTTAAAGAATATGCAATAAAAAAAAAATCGATTTTTTAATCAATCACAACTGTATATAACCCCTTAAATTCTTTGAAAAATAAGGGTTTCAACTGTGCAGTTCTACCGTTCCATTAAGACGCTAACGGAGGTTTATTTTGATAGTCAAAAATAGCTATCCAAAAAACTTTAAAATATACCAAACAGTAGCGAGGTATTTTATTGAATGCGTTTTGTTCCGCTAGTTATGATTTTAATCAAGGACGGCCACACTGAACGAATGACGCGTTTACACGTCAAAGAAAAAAATAAAAGCCATACTAAAAGGTAACTGCTTACGATAATATAATGGGTTTAACTATATCTAGCTTGCTAACACGTCTGTTTGGAAAAAAACAAATGCGCATTCTTATGGGTACGTCATTGACATTATTGTAATTAAACTTTTATACATGTTGATTAAAATTTAACTACACAGTTGGTTTGGATGCAGCTGGAAAGACAACCATACTCTACAAACTTAAACTTGGAGAAATTGTGACAACTATTCCAACTATTGGCTTTAACGTCGAAACTGTAGAGTACAAAAATATATGTTTTACAGTTTGGGATGTTGGTGGTCAAGATAAAATTCGTCCTTTATGGCGCCACTACTTTCAAAATACCCAGGGTTTGATTTTTGTAGTAGACTCCAATGACCGAGATCGAATTAATGAAGCTGAAAAAGAATTACAAAACATGGTATTTTATTACTTTGATACACAAATTTATTTTTATATACAAATGTATTTGGCCCTAGCTTCAAGAAGATGAGCTACGAGACGCCGTGCTTTTAGTGTTTGCCAACAAACAAGACTTGCCAAATGCGATGAGCGCTGCCGAACTTACAGATAAGTTGCATCTAAACCAATTAAGGAACCGTCATGTAAGTATACTGTAACTTTTATTTGTAACTGTAACTCATTAATTATTAATTTTTGTAGTGGTTTATTCAAGCTACTTGCGCCACTCAGGGTCACGGACTTTACGAAGGACTTGATTGGCTTTCAGCAGAATTGGCTAAAAAATAAAAGTCTAAAATATATGAAAAATTTTTAAACTGTACCATAGACGTTCGTATTGTTCTCTGATGATAACTATACAGTAGAATATAAATAAACTTGTATATGATTTAAAAAGGTTTTTTTTTTTACTTTTTGTTTTGTTTTTTTTTCAGATGTGTGAAATTCATTTAAGGAATCGTATCCGATCCTTTAAAGCAGTGCTCTATGGTCCAGACGACACCTTTTGTTGTCATAAATTAATTACTCTCGATTAAAACAAGATTTTTCGATTTAGTTTTTTTTATTGGACTAATGTAGGAAGTAAAATTAAGTGAAAAACAAGAAAGAAAAGCTAACTTCGGGCGGAGCCGAAGTTTATATACCCTTGCAGTTAAAACCGGATATATATCGCAAACATCGGATATAGTTGGCCGATCCTTATGGGAATAGGAATATATAATCCAATATTTTACAATACAAAATCTAAAAAAAGTCCCAAACTTCTATCTTCAAAAATACGAAAGTTGATATTTCTACCAAAAACCATTTCCGATCGTTCAGTTATATGGCAGCTATAAGATATAGTCGGCCGATCGTTATGAAATTTGGTAGATCGGATTAACTGACCAAGAATATAATCTGTACCAAGTTCCAGCTTTCTATCTTTAAAAACACGAAAGTTTCTGCATTTCCGATCGTTCAGTTATATGACAGCTATAGGATATAGTCGGCCGATCCTTACGAAATTTGGCATGTCGTATTATTTTGCCAAAAATAGCGCTCGTGTAAAATTTGAACTCTCTAACTCTAAAAACACCGAAGTTATACCATTTCCGATCAATCAGTTATATGGCAGCTATAGGATATAGTCGGCCGATCCGGGCCGTTCCGACTTATATACTGCGTGCAAAGGAAAGAAGGGTGTGTGCAAAGTTTCAAGTCGATAGCTTTAAAACTGAGAGACTAGTTCGCGTAGAAACAGACAGACAGACGGACAGACGGACATGCTCATATCAACTCAGGAGGTGATCCTGATCAAGAATATATATACTTTATAGGGTCGGAGATGTCTCCTTCACTGCGTTGCACACTTTTGACCAAAATTATAATACCCTCTGCAAGGGTATAACAAGTAAAGAAAGCTAACTTCGGGCGGAGCCGAAGTTGATATACCCTTGCAGTTAAAACCGGATATATTTCGCAAACATCGGATATAGTTGGCCGATCCTTATGATTACAACATGATAAAACAAATTAATTACAATAAAACATCTAAAAAAATGTCCCAAGCTTCTATCTTCAAAAATACAAAAGTTGATATTTCTACCAAAAAACATTTCCGATCGTTCAGTTATATGGCAGCTGTAAGATCGGCCGATCGTTATGAAATTTGGTTGATCGGATTAACTGAAAATATAATCTGTACCAAGTTCCAGCTTTCTATCTTTAAAAACACGAAAGTTGGGTCATTTCCGATCGTTCAGTTATATGACAGCTATAGGATATAGTCGGCCGATCCTTATGAAATTTGGCATGTCATAATGTTTTGCCAAAAATAGCTCTCATGTCAAATTTGAACTCTCTAACGCTAAAAAACCAAAGTTATACCATTTCCAATCAATCAGTTATATGGCAGCTATACGATATAGTCGGCCGATCCCGGTCGTTCCGACTTATATACTGCGTGCAAGGGATAGAAGGGTGTGTGCAAGTCGATAGCTTTAAAACTGGAAGACTAGTTCGCGTAGAAACAGACAGACAGACGGACACACGGAAAGACGGACATGCTCATATTAACTCAGGAGGTGATCCTGATCAAGAATATATATACTTTATAGGGTCGGAGATGTCTCCTTCACTGCGTTGCACACTTTTGGACAAAATTATAATACCCTCTGCAAGGGTATAAAAATGGGTGTCGCACTGCCCCATTTTTTTTATTGAATAAAAAAAATCTTAAATAGATAAGGCTTAAGTTTGTATTTTGTTTGGGTCTTGTTTATTAACAGACCTTCGGTTCAAAATTCAATTGTAATTCAAAAGTATCAACGAAATTCTTTTCATTGTCTTCTATAGGCCCTCCTTTTAGAAGCATTTCCAAAGTAAAGTTTAATTTTATTTTGCGTTTGAATAGGTCTTTCTAGGTTGACTGACAAAATAATCAGATCTTAAGCTCGATGAAAAACATCACAAAGATTTTCAGTTCGGTCTGATTCATTCTGAATACGATCTGATTTATAAAGCTTGTTTCGCGCTTTAGCTCCCTGCTCTCCAAAATACCCAAGAGGAAATATCGTGCTATATAAAATATCTGTTTTCGTGCGGCCATGCAAGCTACTTGAATTAACAAACTTGTGTTTCCTTCTTTAGACACCAGAAGCTATGCAACCTTTTTTCTTTGTGCCCCTCGGGGTTTTCCAATGTAGGCAATGCAGGGCTTCCTTTTGAATGTTTTCTTCTTCGAACCGGTGCACTAGCTTATGAAGTAATCGTAATGTCTGCTTTAAAACACCGTTGCATTTGACCGGCAATTCTTCCGTTTTGATGCTAAGCGATAGAATATTCTTTTACAAGCATCCTTAAAAGATTTCATTTTGATATATTAACAAGAGTTTTATTTTTAAATAAATCCATAGTTGCTTTCACCTTGGATGCTGGAGTCTTCACTGACTTCCTTACTGCAAACAATTTCGAGTTGTTGAATTTAAAGCATAGTATTGAGTTGACGAAAATCCGCTGTTGAAATTCTGATAGCGATTTTGCACTTTATTCGGCTGCCGAGGTAATGTGACCAAAACAATGAAGAAATAAGGTAATACTGAACAGCTGTTGTTTGTAAACAAAAAACAAATAAGCAAAAATGAATTCAAAACGATTGGATGTTGGTGTTTTGTTTATGTATTTCGCCGCTAAGGAGCTGATAAAGAAATAGAAAACTGGGTCAAAATCAAAATCCAAATCAATTACAAATCATTTCAATGCCATTTTATGGAATTAAAATGCCCCTTGTGGGTCAAATCCCATATTATGGGCTTCGTCTTGACCGCAGAAATTAATTTTAATTTGTCCTTGCGCGTCGAAAATTTTTCGGGCCGACTATTTTTTTGTTTGGTCAATTGACCCTCCATGTCACACCTATAAAAATAAATTGAAATATTTATTTTAACACCCCGAGAGCAGCTGTTTATTTTTTTTGATCCGGCAACACCATTAAAATCGATAACAAAAATTTTCGTCAACTCAGTACCCGCAAAATCTAGAAGGCAAAAGTTTCTTCTTCTTTCCTTTTTTACACCGTTTTTTTTATATGGAGTTTGACAGCTGTCACTCGTTGGACAGCGGATTTTCGTCAACTCAGTACTATGCTTAAGGTTAGAGCTATAAACTTAAATTCCAAAAAAAAGGTTGAAAGTGGCAGTTCTGCCTATATGTATACAGTCGAAAAAGAATTATTTACTCTACGTCGTACAATAGATTTCAAGGTTGGACTATGAAAATTTTCGCTGTTTAGACGATTTACTTTAAAGCAGTGCACAGTGGTCGCTGCCATAGGCCAAAAATAAAAAAATTGATTTTGAGCTATTCAAGCGAAACCCGGTTTTACTATCAGCTGATTGTCCAAAATTTACCAAGCAATATGGTCTGCTTGGAAATTCTAACGGAACTTTCTAAAAACAGCATGACAAAAGCGTACTCATATTTATGCACTTTCAGTTTGTCCGCAGTGGAGTTCACACACAAAATTCAAAAATCTTAAATATATTATAAAACGCTGTTAAACCAAAATCAATTGGAATGGATATGGTATATAATGGTATATACCTTATTTTTACAGATAAATATATATATAATTTGAGCTGTGTTTCGTGTAAATCTTTGTTAAACATGTGCGTCTTTTTAGTTCGTATATGTTGTGCGTTACAATTTTTATGTAAAGTTTTAAGTATTTTCCCCCGATTGCCCCCAAATAAAATTTATGTGGTGTTATAGACTAATGTTTAAAGATTATAAAAATGTTTACTTCAGCTGCGGAAGCCTGCCGCAGCACTTTTGCCATTACAAAATGCAACCTAACCTCATTTTCCATCTCTGTCTAGGAGAGAAGCACGTTTTTGTTCTGTGTCTGTTATGTTGTTGTTGCCATTTAAGTGTCTTGTACTTTCGTTTTTCGCTTTGTGTTTTTTGTTTTTAAGATTATTTTTTCGTTTAACTAGTTAATTTTTTTCCAAGATAACCAAAGTCAATGCGAGTATTCTCGAAAGCATATTTTTAACATTTGGCTTAAGGAATGCGGTACACCTGCCCAAAGAACAAGAAATGTGCTGGATGTCTTAATTAAGGACATAAAGTATAAGGGATATGAGCCGGACTTGGAAAAATTGCCAAAACAAACAAACTATGTTTGTAAGAAGCTTGCATCATTTTGGCAAATCGTCAAGCGGAAAGAAGCAATATTTTTGAAAAACAAGAAAGGAAAGCTAACCTCGGGCGGAGCCGAAGTTTATATACCCTTGCAGTTAAAACCGGATATATATCGCAAACATCGGATATAGTTGGGCGATCCTTATGAATACATCATAATAAAACCAATTAACTAAAATAAAAAATCTAAAAAAGTCCCAAATTTCTATCTTAAAAAAAAGAAAGTTGATATTTCTACGAAGTACCATTTCCGATCGTTCAGTTATATGGCAGCTATAGGATATAGTCGGCCGATCCTAATTTGGTAGGTTAGATCAACTGACCAAAAATAGAATATGTTCTAAGTATCAGCTTTCTATCTTCAAAAACACCAAAGTTATACCATTTCCGATCAATCAGTTATATGGCAGCTATAGGATATAGTGGCACGATCTGGTCAATTTTTTTTATCATATGTTTACAATATTTTTCTAGATTTTTGGTGAAAGTTTCATAGCGATAGCACATCTATAAGTATTTATGGCCGTGGTTCCATACAAGCTCGACCACTGTGCAGTGGTGGGCAAACTCTTGTTTTACATAGCACGCGAGTACATATAGGGTAGGAAATTCTGCCGCAGCGCTGCCGACACACTGACAGTGTGAGCACTCTCAATTTTTTTTAGAAGCTCTCTCAATTGCTCTCATTTTGACTTATTTGACAGCCCAAACTT